TTTTCACTATTTAACAAGTATATTGTTCATTATCCTCTATATCCCACCACGGACTAACTATTAGTAAACATTCAAACTCCATCTTCAATCACATTTTGGATTTTATGTTTTTCATCTTTACACCAACCTCATTCCGTATTAGAGTAAACAATCAAGCATTTATACCGATATTTATTTTTAGGCAAAAGATTACTTTCCTAGAAAATATTTTTAGTTAAACAAATATTATTTCTCATAACTATATATTATGAGAAATAATATTTTTTTTTATTATGTATATATGTATATATACTTATATTAGCTATTTACGTGAGTTTTATAAATATTGCCAAAGGTCCCACTAAAAGTTTAAATACTTAATAGAATACCTGTTTTTTGAGTGTTTTTCATTAAAATTTGTATAGTTCATTTTTTTCCAATACTTCATAGACATACTTCATTCCAATATTTCCTATTATTGTACCCAGTACCTTCCTATTATTGTACCTAATACCTTCCTATTATTGTACCTATCACAATAGCTTTGGATATTTATTTCAACAAATGAATTGATTAATTAAATTTATTGAATAAGTAAATGATTTTTTTTTAAGTTTCAGTTTCTACATTTTAACTTAATGACTGAAATTAAAATAAAATAAATGTTAATTTAAAATTTTTTACTAAGGCTAACATTAAAATAGTATTTTCTGTTTAAATCCTAATTTCATATTAAAATTATAATTTACTGCATTATATTTGGTGCTTATGGTATCCTAATCAACTTACACTTAATTTTTACAAACTTTATGTTTATTAAATAAATTAACTAAATAAATTGCGCTTGCTAAAAAAAAATTATTGTATTCTATAAAGAAAGAAAATAAATGCCTACTCAGACTAAGATAAAATTCCAAAAGTTGCTGAAGAAGGAAAGGAAAAAAAATTCTAACACATCCTTTTAACAAAATGATCAATGGGTATTTTTGTACACTTAATCTCTTTTAGAGATTGAAAGAAAAATAAACGACATTTGAGAAAGGCTTTCTCACTTGGAAAACAAAACCCTTCAATCTTTTTTTCTATTCTTTGTAAAAGAGATAACAGCTATAAATACTTGTATCTTAATTTCTTTCTAAACTCACCCATCAATAAACTCCCAGAATACCTTCTAATACAAATTAACAAAAAACATTCAAACAAATTTTAAGATTTTTTAAGTCAGCAAGAAACTTTTTCAATAAGAATGCGATAGATTTTCTATAATTTTAAATTTTATTAATATATCACAAATAATACATATTTTGCGAGATTTAAAATTCTTAAAACCTTAATTCATTAAATATCGTCTTATTATTTCTCGTAAAGCGATATATTTATTTTTGTAAGACAATTTTTTAAAATTTAAGTACGAATTATGTTCATATAATTAATTCTAGATTAGTTTTATGCACAAATGACGCATTTCACAAACAACATTTCAAAATGAGACGTATCTTCATCAATACGTCAAAATGATTTCCAATATTTTTCAAAAGCTATTTTAATGATTAAATTTTTGAAATTAAATTAATTATATGAATTTTTCCAGTGGAATTTTTTAAATGAAATACTTCTTTTTTTACACATTCAATTAAAATTTATAGAATCGAAATAATTTAAGAAAATTATACAAAGGGTAAAATAAAGTTATTGGATATATTTTATAATATCTAACTATAGTGAAACCTAATAATAATGATTGTATTCATTCTTTAATCGCTTTAATTTTAATTTTGTATGAACAAATGAAATTTTTTCTTTCCAAACTAGCATTAGTAAATTTTCCTATTAACATATATGTATTATTTTGAATTCGACTTTTTCGACCCATAATTTTATGATTACCTATTATTTAATTTTTCTCTTAATAAAATAAATTAAGCATTATAATTTAGTTAAGAAATAGAAAAAATATGATTTATTTTAAATTATTTTATCCACCAATTTAAAAAAAACAACAGTTGCAACTAAATGAAAAACTACAAGAAAATAAATTCACATCTTCTGTCACATTCTTCGATGAAAATATCCAACTACTAATGATCTGCAAATTCCCAATGACTATTCCAACACAGCCTAAAGTTGGAATTTGAATTGATGAAGCAGTTTAAAATAATGAAGTAAACCAAATACATTATTTAAAATTACTGTATCCCCCAAATTAAAAAAAAACTACTGTTATAAGTAAATGAAAAGGTATAAAAAATATAAACGTCCTTCTCCGGTCACATCCTTTCATATAAACTTTCAGCAACTGCAATATAAAATAATCTACAAATACCCAATGACTCATTCAATACAGAAAAAAGCTAAAATTTGAATTGATGAAGCAGCATAAAATACTGAAGTAAACATAATACATTATTTAAAATTAGTTCATCCAACTTTTTTTTTTAAACTATGATTTAAAAAAAAAGAAAAGCTATAAAAATATAAATGTTCTTCTCCTGTCACATCCTTTCATGTAAACCTTCAACAACCGCTACATCAAAAGGATGTGAAAATTCTCATGTCTAGAACTAGAATTTGAATTGATGACACCTTAAAATAATGAATTAAACCTAATATATTATTTAAATTACTGTATCCCCGAATTTAATAAAAATACGATTACAAATAAAGGAAGATTTATAAAAAAGTAAATGTATGCCACTGTGTAGGTGTATGTATGCAAAGCCCTATCACATTTTTTCATGTAAACCATGAACAACTGCGATATCAAATGATCTGCAAATTCCCAATGACTTTTTCAATACAGTCCAAAACCAGAATTTGAACTGATGAAGCAGAATTAAAATAATGAAGAAAGCTAAATAAATTATATAAAATTACTTTATCCCTCCAAATTAAATATATATATATATATATATATATAAATGTTTTTCTCCTGCCATATCTTATCACGTAAATAATCAACAACTACAATGTCCAATGATCTTCAAACTCCCAATGACTGTTCCAACACAGTGCAAATTTAAAATTTGAATTGATGATTTAAAATCAATTTATTCCTCTCCCCCTCAATTTAAAAGAGTTCGATTATAAATAAATCCAAAACTGTAAAAAATAAATGTTTTTCTTCTGTCATATCTTTTTATGTAAATCATCAACACCTGCAACGTCCAATGATCTTCAAATTCCCAGTGGCTATTTTAACACGGCCAAAGCTGGAATATAAATTGATGAAACAACATAATGAAGTAAATCAAATACTTTATTTAAAATTGCTCTATCACTCAAATTAAAAAAAAAAAAAAAAAAAAACTATGAATACAAATAAATTAAGAGCTATATAAAAATTATTCTACTGTCACGTCTTTTCAAGTAAACTTTTCACAACTGCAACATCCAATAATCTGCACATTCCTAATGAATACAATCCAAAGCTAGAATTGGAATTGATGAAGCATTATAAAATAATGAAGTGAACCAAATACATTATTTAAAATTACTTTTTCCCCAAATTAAAATATATATATATATGGATACCATATATATATATATATATATATATATATATATATATATATACATACATACATATATATATATATATATACATATATATATATATATATATATATATATATATATATATGTATGGATACAAATAAATGAAGAGATATAAAAAATATAAATATCCTCCTGTCACATCCTTTTATGTAAACCTTCAACAACTGCAACGTCAAATGACCTACAAGTTTCCAATGACAACTTCAACACAGTTTCAAAGCAAGAGCTGAATCCAGGGGCGTCCGCTTCACATTGGTTTGTATGGCACACGACACTCATGTTCGATCCTATTCACCGTAAGGTGGCGCTTTGTACGTGACTGAATTCATGAAAGAACCCAGTTTTCGATGTGCTTTTTTTTATTTTCTATTGTTATTACTTATCTTTTAGTTTCCCCATCATATGGTGCTTTTTAGCCTCTAGTGTTTTCTCGTTTGTGAGGGTTCCCCCAGACGCGTTGCTGCTGGAATTTCAATGAGATTCTATGTTGTATGCACAACAGACGGTGTGAACGATATCCTTATTTTCATACAAGTTTCAGAGAAAAAATTGCGTATAAGAAATAAAACGCTGTTTTGTTTTTCTATGATCTTTCATTTTGTTGTTGTTGTTGTTTTGTTTTACTTGTTTGAGGGTATTATATTGAGAATTTCTCAAAAGTGTTTATTTATGGAATAAAACGGGTTGAAATATGGGGATAAATATATTTTTGCATATCGCAAAAATTGTTCAAAAAGTATTTTAAAGTAAGACTATGTCATTGTAAAATATTATAATAATATTAATAAAAAAAATTGAAGTCGAAAGATGTGTTATTTTTTTTTCTATTTTATTTTGGTAATGCTTCAGTCTTTTGCTATGCATAATATATGTTTGTAATTTTTAAATATTATCATTTTTCACACAAATCATATCAAATAGTATTTCTTAAATTAGCAAGCAGATATTAATTTTTATTTAGTTATTTAAAAGTCTGTTAAACATAAAAAATAAAAGAAATATTTATTATTATCCATTATTTTTACAATTTTACAAGAAATGATTTTAAAATATAAATTATTAAGTCAAACATTACTCTGAAATAAGCTTTAAATTCCCAATCATTATGTCAAGTAATCATTAATAAAATAGTATTAGATGCTATTCAGTATAAAAATAAACAAATTAATTAATAAATATATAATATAAATTGTAATCAATAGTTTTATTAACTGATAATATTTATGATTTATTATCATAAGGTAACGTACTAGCATCCTGGGGTATATAACAAAATACGAACATAAGAATACAAAATTGTTAGAAATTTAAAAGGAAAATACGTTGTACTAAATCCGAAACCTTGAATAACTATTATATAAATTTGTTACATATTTTTTTAATCTTTAATAGGCTTTTAACTTGACTGTATTTCACTTCCACACTGTGTGTTTATATATATATAAAGTAAAAATCTTAAGAGACCAACGGCCGTACCATGCTGAATATACCGGTTCTCGTTAGATCACCGAAGTCAAGCATCATTGGGCGCGGTCAGTACTTGGGTGGGTGACCACCTGGGAACACCGCGTGCCGGTGGCAAATTTGGGACCTGAATGGCCGAGTGTCTAGCGCTTTGGCGCTCGGTGCCACAGGTCTCGGGTTCGAATCCCGCCGGTGCCATGGATGTTTGTAGTGGTTCGGAATCCACTTTAAGCCGTAGGTCCCGGTCTCCTATGACTGTAAGAGCGTCACGGAGCAAAAGTCAGGCTTCTACCTACGGGGTGCTTCATCACAACAGACGCTGCTTCCTTCCCCGTCAATCATGAGTACGTGTGGGCTTGGCCAGCCAAGTGGGATAAGAAACAACAAACAACAAAACAACAAAAATCTTAAGAGGACATAATTACAAGAGACATTTACATATTTCTTGAGTTGTGTATGATTTTAAATGACTTATATTTGTTTCTCAAGCTTTGTTTATATGCAATGAAGAAATTCTTGTGTACATATTTACTTAAATGTTTTAAAGCAATTTGGTCCTTATGTCAAATGAGATTCACTTATTAACATTAAAGTCGATCAATTTACAAACACATCTAGAAATATCCATAGTAATACATTACCTTGACAATTAAATTACCTATTATTTTCACTACGGTGTTACTACCTATAATTTATGAACTGTATACAGTTTCTAGTTTATCGAAGTAACCTAAAAAATTCTATTCAATTAGGAACCAAATTTAAATGCCAATAGATAATTAAAAAATTAAAAAAATAAAAATAACATTTTTATAAAAAAAAAACCTTCCATTTTCCTTTTTCACTAATTAATTTTTAATAATTTCCGTAATAATTTAATAATTTAATAATAAGCCGTGAAATCTCTAACTGCGTATTGTGACCTAGTAGTAAAATACTAAGATAACCGCTATCATGAAACTTTCAATCCTCTATTAATCGCTCATTGCAGTTATTACTTTAGGAAAAGAAAAGACTTGATGGTGATTTTCAAAGTGGAAAACAATGTCTTTCTTTCCTTTCCCGGTGATAAGCTGTACATTGCATATATAACTTAAACTCAAAGTTCATTAATATTAAAGGAAAATACCAGGACCCCAAACATCGTTGGACTGTTCCTTAATTTTCATTTATAATTCATATACATAGAAATACTTAATAGCAAATATGAATGTTAATTCTAACACATCACTCAATAAATCTCCGGTCTACCTAAAAAAAAAGAAATTTTTTTTCATAAATTTTTTTTTTTTTACGACTTTTGTTCGTCAACATACTATCCTTTAAGAGTGATACATTCATTACAACTTTCCTCTAATTTTGCGATGGCATTTTTGCCGATTTTACTTTGCAGGTCAAATTTTGAGTTTTTGTCCATTGGACGACTTTCACCGGCTACTAACAATCATTATAATTCACGTGTATAGTAGTGGATCCATGTCACATACCGACTCAAGAAATCCTTTTTATTTTTCTTCTACAGCTACAAACAGCGCTCTCAGACGTCGACGCGTTGTTGTTTTTGGTCCTGTGTGAGCAAACGCGACACAGACTTCGAAAGCAACTTAATCATGCCCAAATTTTAGTGTAAAATTATAAGCACACTTTCTCATATCTTTAAGGTGTCAGATATTTCATGCAAGTTAACTTTAAGGTTTTTCAAAACTATTTTCTGAACTTTTTTTTATGTTTTAAGGAACAACTGCCAATTTTGGGTGACCAGAGCGTTCAATATCATTAGTTTTGTAAGACTGCTTTTTAAATTCAGCATACCAGTCAATAACAATTGATTTCTCTGGTGCAGAGTCTCCATAAAGCTTATAAAGCCATTATTTGGCTTCAGCAGTATTTTTCCATATCAGAAAACAATGTTTAATCAATACATGAAATTCTTTTTTTTTATCCATTATTTTGAAAATTACAAAATTGTTGTCACTAAAACCATTATAACCTGTAAATTAATTATCAGAACGAGACAAAATTTTCACACGTGTCGTGTGAAAGATGCTACTATCAAAAATCATATGGTCTGTCAACAGTGTTGCCATATATGTATCAGACCGGATACTTATTGAGTGATGTGTTAATTTTCTACAAAAACTCATTCAATGCGTGCAGTCTAAATATGCAATAATCATGCAAATCAAGATAATTCCAAATTTCAAGAATCTAACTTAACCTAAAAATGTGTCATTTTGTGCATCCATAAATGTCATCAAAAATTTGAAATGACTTAAAAACAAATTAAAAATGTACCACAAATTATAAAAAGAACTTATTTTATTACTGCATCCGTTTTCGTATTTGACTAACAAAAATATCTTCGACAATGAATGAAATCCAACAGCAAAATATTCGAACCACGACGAAAATTAGCATTACCTAAAGCGAATGCGAATTCTAACTATCCATCACAATATATTAAAAGCGTGCAATCTGAACATACAATAATCATAAAACTCAAGATAATTTTAAATTTTAAGAAACTTACTTAACTTAGAAAATGCAATTATTTTGTCCATCCATATATGTCCTCAAAAATTTGGAATGACCTAAAAACAAAGTGAAATATTTTACAAATTATAACAAATAAACATTTTATTACTATCTCCCTTTTCATATTTGACTAACAAAAATATCTTCGGCAATGGACGAAATCCAACATCACAAAATATTCGAACCACGGAGAGCCCAGGAGCTATTTCTTACTTCTCATTTATAGCTTCATAACTGCACAAATACTTCACAGCTTAGGTGAAAAGTACCTTCGGAAAATATATGGTCGGTGTTTTTCCTGCTGCTTTTCAAACCAATCGATTCCTGGGTATACGAGAGCTGGCATCCTATTCCGTCGTGGTAAATGTTATTGATAGAAACGCATCGCAATAACTTTGTGGCACTATATGCATGACCAGAACAGTTTGAGGTAGATTTTTTATACTTTGGCATCTTATCGAATTTCGTTTTTTTTTTCTTTTTCTACTTTTTTTTTTCTCTTTTACTCTACTAGTAGATGTTGTTGAATGAATGTTTCTTGGTAAAAAGCTCGTTTTTTTCTCTAATACAGCAATATTATTTTTGTCGCTTCAGGGGGCACAACTTTTTTTTTTTTTTTTTTTGCTTTTGTAGATTGGCTTTTAGAAGGAATGTAACGCAAAATATTGTGATTTCTAAATATTCAAATGCAGTTTTTGTCAATATAGTTAAAAATATTCAAGTATCGGTTTGTATTGCCATATCATTCAACGTATCATATTATGTGATAAACATATATTTATAACATTTTTAAACTATAATATATGAATTTATTTTATCAAACATAAAGTTGTAGGTAGTATTTATGTTTTATAATATTACTAAGAGAATAAATTTTTTTAATTTTTTAAATAAACAAATTGATGATGTATAATTCATTAATATGCGTAGTAATATCTTTGACTAGGATCTAGTCACCTAGCGGACTGAAATTACATGAGTTATAATATTTTAAAATATTATATGATATTAAGATGATATTACTCCTTGATAAAGCTATCCTTAGGTAGTTATAATTTATTTCCTTTGGATTCATTAATTTAAATGGGATGTTGCTTATATTTTGTTGACATAAATGTATTGCTTGTGTAAAGTATTTTCTGAATAAATAATATCAATTTAACATATATTAAAAACATAAATATTTTATGAAATAGTTAGCATGAAATATTCATTCACAATTCAAAGTGGTTTTGAATAATATAAAATAAATTAGCTGTACAAATTGGATTGAGCTGATACAATATTATAAGAGATTAGCGCACTATAGCACATAAATCATGAAAATGCAAAAAAAGAAAAAAAAAAGATTTTACTTATAAGTTGATATCATTACAATATATTAATGTCTATTAAAGGAAATAATATTTTATTTTTAACAATATTAATAGACATTTAAAAATATGAGAAAAAAAATCTTACCAAGCCAAGAAACCAAACTAACGACAACTAGGCATACAACCAAATTGCCTTTACCAAATTCAATTCTGTAATTAAAAAAAAGGTATTAACATAATTTATTTACTCATTGTATGCAATATTTAGTAACAAAAAAAATTAGGAATTATTTCTTACTGTCTCATCACTTGGATGGTGATATGATACTTACAGCAGATTAGATATTACCACACTTGAATCATCGAAAACATATCAACCTAAGAGAGTAACAATGAGTTTCAAGAAGCTAGGGAATATCAAATTAAATGTTTCAATTTTTTATCATAACTTTGCATGTTCAAGACTTTTTCATATCGATTGTTGGTTTCACTTGTCTTAATTTTTAATTAATGTTGTTGGATCTGTAAAAGAGGTTTATGCGCTTAAGGACAGGTATTTATAAGTTTGCATGCAGTCAAAAATTATTTTGAAATGAAATATAATCATATATTGTACTAGGCATAATGACAGTATGTGAAGAAAACATTTTCTAAAGTAGTAATAGCTCCTTAAGACACATTAAATGCATGCAAATTTTGAAAATTTACTTTTTCAATAACTGGAATTAAATATTAATCTACAATTTAAATTTTGCCTTGAATTATTTAAAATAATAGCACAACTTTATACCGTATATGGGAAAATGCAGAAATCTCCTGCCGGGCAATTGAACAGTCGAGATTATGTAATTTACTCCACGCCTACAAGTTCTTAAAAATACTTCATCTCATATCACCAGCAATGTGGAACCTTTGATTTCTTCAACAGTATATAGAATGAACTACCACAGCAAATTTTCAACTCAACTCTTCTTAAGTCAACTGTAAAGTAAAGCCCAAAATACCTTACAGATATATTGAATTACACCCACAACATTCAGCTGACGCAAACCTTCAAGATTTCCTTTAGAAATACCTGTACCCCTAATCAGGCTGTCTTAAGTTGTTGGCCCTTTTTCCTGCTGTTTTCCGGTTTTTCGCTTTTTCCAGTTTATCTAATTCTGCCGATCTTTTCCATTATCTTTTTTTTTTGTTCAACTCATAGCTCGGAGGAGCTTTAGTTTGTTGATGGTACGAATCCAGAATGCTTCATGAGGTAGA